GCCCAAACAATCCGTTGCCTGACGGCTCTGTTATATTGTTAAATTCTTGTTAACATTACTCTGCAAAGTATGAATATTACAACAATATTGACCCAAAATCTCAAATACCTTTTCGCCATCGTTACATTCACTTTTCTAGAGTTTTTCATTAAGAACAACATTGCACAATTACTAGCGAACAATAACACCAGGAATAGATCGAATGAACACATTCGCATTATAAATAAGTAAAGGCTGAACATCAACAGTACTTTACGACGTTGCTTGACAAATGAAATTTCTCGCAACACTAAGTGACAAAATTAGAACACCTAGGTTAATAATGATCTACAAATTTCTTAAAATCCATAAAATTCATTATGAAAATACTTTACCCGTAAAGGAAGCTTTTTTTGAAGCTTTGGGATCAATTTCTGGATAAGTCAACGAAGCGATGAATTGCATTGGTATGTCAAATATGGTCATATTCTTGTTATTTGATAGATTATTGGAATTTGTGGCAGTTTGCTTCTCTGGAACAGTCCTAATTTCTCCTACGGGTGGGCCTTCCAACCAGTTCATCATCGAATACACCAAATTACTACCCAACAACCACCATCCATCCGCATGTACACTTCCATCGACTCCTTCATGATCAACACCACCATCATTATCAGCTGCGACTTCAGCATCAGAACTATCAGGATTTGAATCCGAATAATCCGTGTGATTTGCCGTAAAATCTAATTGATCTGGTGATTGTGTAATCAAATCCCGATCCAAAATCTTGCTTTTTCTTTTACCATCAACCACAGCATTCTCTGACTTTGTCGAAGAATTACTACTTCCTATTATGTTGACCTCTAATGAATAATTATCTTGATCTTGATCCTGATCATCAATATCTCCCGATGTGTTTCCATCCTCTGGTGGTACCGACGAATCGGTCACGTATCCATCACCATCTTCGTCAAAAGGTAACTAAAAATGTACAATATTTCAGTTACTACGTTAAAATATTGAATAGGCAAATATAATGATAACAAAAAATGACCTCTCTTGAACACCAATCCTTTAGCTGTTTGAGTATCTTCTTGACCGTCTTTTTACCTTCAATCTCGGATAAAATATCTGGTAGCACATCCCTAAATGACTCCAGTATTTGATTCAAATCATCGTGTTCTGCGACTATATTTGTTATCATGCAAACGGGCGATGTTAATAAAGAAAGTAGTCATGATTCACTTGCCCTCAAAAAAGACTTACCTTTATAATGGGGAAAACCTCTTGTAATAATTCTATACTCCGGAAATTGCCTCCGTTTTGAATTACCACCATTTTGTTGTTGTAGTAGGAAGTAAGGAGACTCTCTTATAGATTTCCAATTTGATCTTAAGCCACCAACCAAACTGGGTCGAACAAACATTATGTTAGGATGAGTGAAGAAGAGCTTAAGGGTTACAGATGTAAAGTGGGAAGATAAGTATATGAGTTCGTGTGCTGTGATAAATGTAGTGTAAAAAGTGAATTTTATACGAGAGAGACTACCTGTGACTTGAATGATTAACGTCGTTGCCGGCTGATCGAACTGACCGGCTGTACAATAATTATATTAATATCGTGGAGCCAAACGAATATTGATCGAAGAGCATGAATCCTCTTCTACAATGTGCAACAAGTGGCACCGCAACCGTCATCGAACTCACAAGAAGTGCATATGAGAAACCTAGCCACTAAAGAAAACAGAGGGGAGAGAGAATAGCAAAGTGCGTGAAGAAGTAGGGGATGTTAACTTATTCAAAGATTTTAATAAAATAATTATACGGTGACACTATAATCAATACGTAATATGTGCCGTTTTAGTTCATAGCACCATCTATAATAGTGTCAGGTTATTTATATACTGTTATCAGGAAAAATAATTTTGCCTTCAACCTGATCGAATAACTGATAACATCCAATAATTTACAATATTAAAAACGAAACTGCATCTGAATCCACTCGGCGCACAGAATTTTTTTGCTGGAATACAGTATATGCTACCTATTATCTTTTGCGAACTAAATTGTTGTGATATTCATACTTTGCAGAGTAATGTTAACAAGAATTTAACAATATAACAGAGCCGTCAGGCAACGGATTGTTTGGGC